TCTGGGAGTCCAATCATACAGTCGAGCGGCAGTAATTCCAACCATGGCGCTCAATCAGAACTGCATTCTTCCCATGGCTGACGGCGTGCTGACGCATTCCCACTCCGCCGGCCCAAGGGACTTCACATCTTGGATCCCAGAGAAGCCGTTCGAGACCATGGATTCGACCCAAAAGTGGTGGCCATGAAGGCCAGTTGGTGTGGCCTCCAGGCGTTCTGGAAATCCATAAATAGGGAGGTTGAATCGCACTTCTGGATAGTCCTGTTCATCATCAATCAATCAGTCAATCTTTCCCTTATAGCTTTTCTTCGATACCCATCATTCTCTTTGGGTCATTCTCTTTCATTGTCATTCTCTTTTTTTAAAGAAAGAAGACATTCATTTCTGAAACTTAACTTTTCTTCTCTCCATCCTTCCAAAACAGGAAAGATAGTCAATCGCTCGACGCGACAACTAAAACAACCTTCTTTCAAAATGCAATTCACCAAGACACTCATGCTGCTGGCAGCCCTCACCTCAGGCAGCTTGGCCAACATGAACAAGCGTTCCACGCTTATTCCTGTCGCTTCTCCTACCTCCTCTAGCCCCTCATCTGCTTCATCTTCCTCTTCCGGATCCGGAGGAGGCAGCAGCGGTGGATCCTGGACGGCTACTCCCTCCAGCGGATCATACTCCACTGAGGGCTTCGGCAGCCGCACCTCCAGCGGCGGCGGTGGCATCACCTACGCCGGCAACACCGGCGACCCCTGGGGTAGCAACATGATCCAGGTGTCCGAGAGCGACGCCGCAAACTACAAGAACGTCGCCCAGTTCAAGGGCGAGAGCGAGGAGTCCTGGAACGTCGTCCTCTTCAACAAGTGCGGCCCCGACGGCGAGATGACTGGCTGGTACGGCAACTCCGCTCTCACTTTCGAACTCTCCGCCGGTGACACCAAGTATGTTGCCTTTGACGACGACTCGCGCGGTGGCTGGGCTGCTGCTTCTGGCTCCATCCCCACTGATAACAAGGGCGGATACGCCTCGACCTGGGGAGAGTTTGACTTCACCAGCTCTTCGAACGGTGGCTGGTCTGGATTCGATGTCTCCGCTATCATGGCGCAGAATGCTGGCTTGACTGTGCAGGGTATGAGCATCTGTGATGCTCTGGGTAGCACTTGCTCTTCTATCACTCCTGACGCTGCTTCTGTTGACAACGCCTACACCACTGCTGAGACTGATGTTGGTGGTGTTGGTGGTAACCTCTCTGGTGGTGGTGCTGTCCGTCTTGCTGTCACCATTGACTACAAGGGCTAAGCCGACTTTCTTTGATCTCTGGTTTTCTGGATAACAGATGTTGTATAAAACTTTGTGTTGATTAGACATATAGATACCTGGTGTATCTGAATATACCACTTCGTTCTTTTTGAATTTGCAAATATCGTTTCGAGTTGACTATAATAGTTGAGTAGAGTTGATGAAGTGAAGTGAATCCGCATACGCGCACCGTCACGTGGTTTAAACTGTACAAAGCGAGGAACTACCTAAATCTTCTCTAGAATATCAGTTGAATGGCCTTAGATATTCCATACGGAGATGACTCGAATATGAAACTTGTGCTAAAAGTATCTCAATAATCCACAGGTTTGCGGGATCCCGATAGAACGTATTACATTATGCCGAACACAAGCATTTTAGCCGTACAAGCAGTGGTACAGTGCTATACTATCTAATCAGCAATCTCACGCATTCAAGAGCCAATCTGATATCTCTGCAGTGGCAACTGGCATATGACTCGTTGATTCGAATTTAGTAGAGTAATCTGTGCAGAGCAATCCATGCACCGGAGCAATAACGGACATATTGCCCCTGCCAAGTGACCCTAGGTAATCCGGTTGGCCGTCTGATCCCTGCCTCCAACTGGTAGGAAAGCCCGTTATTTCACCTACCCCGGACAGTCCACGGCCGACTGCGCTCCGTGGACAGCAGGAATCTGAACAATGACGAAGCCACATGACATCCCGTACATTCCGTACATCAACCTGTATACCGAATAACATCCCAGAAAATTCACGTCAACCGATAGTATCGGGACAGAGTAGTCCGTCGGTCTGTCAATGCCCAACCGCCGTCATCAACCTGCAGTCATCATCAGGACAAACACTCGGTTTGACGGGCAGAATCCCCGCAGATGGCAGAGATCGACTGATTAAAGTTGCGCGATGCATTGGCGTCTGCATGTTTTCTCATGTGGTAAATATCTCAGTGTGTTATGCTTTGGCTGGGAGCCACGGGATGAAGGGCGGTTCCCGTGGAAGCGCGGGATGCATCGTCCATGAGAAATGCCATGCGCCAATATGGGCAAAATAGTCGATTGCCAAGGGAGGCGTGAGCATTTCCAGATTCGGGCCGACTGTGATCCCGGGACGGCCAAGGATGACAGGGCACTTTTTCTTGACTATTGGGGCGATACAGATTGATAGAATTATGCCTACTCGAGAAAGAATTAACCCGGATTGATCAGTACATGATGTGATAAAGGGATAATCTCAAATCACCCGCATAAGGCAAGGCGTCACCGTCATATCTGTATACACCACCACGACTGACCACTCAACAGTAGAATCGCCCCTATCGCAGAATTCACGATTTGGTTACACCACAACCACAATCCAGCAGAGAATAATGACACGGCCTGAATCCGAGGCTGTTCCTCCGGCACAACCAAAACTCTCTTTTGCCACTATTCCCCCGCCGCTGTCGTCGGCGTACAGACTTACGGGCCACGCCGTTGGTGCCTATGCTCGGCCAACCACGCACTAGTCTCTTAACTAGTGTCTTCTGGGGTGATTGCGGGGAAAACGTGGGGAACGCGAGTCTTTCATCATACATTATTTCCGGAAATTTTCCTTTCAGGTCGATCTGGGGAAACACTAGCGGGGTAGACGCTCTCCTACTGGTTGTTACTACCAGAACTCTCCCATCCGGCCCGGATGTGGTTTCACCGTGCGACGCTGGGGATATGGCTCACCGGTGAAGGTCCAGGGGCTTTTCATGGTGTGTCAGGGCGTGGTGCCGTGGTTTGGTGATGTAACGGCCGATGTTGTTATCTGCCCCTATACGGGGAATTCATTTTTGGAAGTATTTAAGGATGCGGTTGGCCCGGGATGATTCGAGGGTCAAGGGCTGCTTTGCTTTGCTTTCTTTGTCTTTTATTATTCTTATCTCGGAGTGCTGCTATGAAGTTCGGACCAAGCCAGCCATGGTTTGGGTTGAGAGGAGGATGGCTGACCTTTTGGGTCACCGTTGCATGTGCTACGGACATGACTCTGTTTGGTTATGATCAGGGTGTTTTCGGTATGTTCACTCCTATATTGTCCTCATGGCAATGCTAACATCTGCTAGGTGGTGTCATTGTAACGAGTGACTTCCTGGACACATTACAACTGCGCGACGATGCCACACTACTAGGAACAGTCACTGCCATCTACGACGTCGGCTGTCTATTCGGCGCCATCTTCTCCATGCACTTCGGCGAAGTCTGGGGCCGAAAGAAGTCCATCATGGTGGGAACCACCGTCATGGCCATCGGAGCTCTACTGCAAATCACAGCCTACGGAGTCCCCCAGATGATCGTAGGCCGGATCGTCGCCGGTCTAGGAAACGGTATGAACACGGCCACGGCGCCAGTCTGGCAGGGTGAAACCTCGCAGATCAAATGGCGTGGCAAACTGGTTATTATTGAAATGATTCTTAATATCGCTGGCTATTCGCTTTCGAATTGGGTGACTTATGCGTTCTCATATGTCCCTGGTCCGGCGTCGTGGCGGTTTCCGTTGGCTTTCCAGTTTGTGTTTATTATTATTCTCTGGATTACTGTGCCTTGGTTACCAGAGTCTCCTCGTTGGCTTATTGCTCATGGCCGTCCTAATGAGGCGCGCGAGATTATCGCCAATTTAGAGGACATGGATGCGGACGATACCTACGTTATCACTGCTCACACGGAGATCGTCGACGCCGTTGAATACGAGCGCCAGAACAGCGTTTCCTGGCTCAACCTGCTGCGCGGTAAAACAGGAGACCAGGGCGGCACATGCGCCATCCGCCGGTTACTCCTCGGTGCCGGAGTCCAGGCAATGCAGCAATTATCCGGAATCAACGTCACATCCTACTACCTCCCGACAGTATTAATGGAATCAGTCGGGATGTCTGAAAAGATGTCACGACTACTCGCAGCCTGCAACTCAGTCTCATACCTCCTCGCCGGTCTCGTTGCAATTCCGCACATTGAACGTTGGGGCCGTCGCCGTCTCTTCATGATCTGTGCCCTGGGACAGGGTCTCTGTTACCTGCTTATCACTGTCTTGATCAGCTTCAATGAGAAGCAGGGCTATGCGTACCAGGAACAGGTTGCCTCCGCTTCAGTTGCATTCTTCTTCCTATACTATATCTTCTTCGGAATCGGCTTCCAGGGTATCCCCTGGCTGCTCCCTGTTGAAATAAACTCGCTCTCCATGCGTACAAAAGGTGCAGCTTTAGCAACAGCAACAAACTGGGCCATGAACTTCATGGTCGTCGAAATCACCCCTGTCGGTATTCAGAGCCTCGGATACCGGTTCTACATCATCTGGACGGTTCTCAATCTGTCCTTCGTGCCGATTATCTACTTCTTCTACCCGGAGACGGCAAATCGGGCTTTGGAAGATATCGATATGTTCTTCCGGGAGAACCCTTCTATCTTTGTGTATAACAATAAGGAGGCGATCTCTGCGAAGCGGCCGGCACGGTATGTGGAGATGGAGCAGGATTTGGTGCAGAGGACTGCGGAGCAGACTGGGGAGAAAATGGTGGAGGCAGAGGAGGTTAAGGGGACGGTGGAGCAGATGGAGAGGGTATAGTTTACTTTGGGGTTCTTAGTTGCATTATTTTGTTAGATAGCAATACCCTTTATTTTTGATTTGTCGATATTTTCCCTAGAGGTTTATAGCAGATACAGCATTGACAATGATATAAATTCAAATGATCTTTCTATTGGTCCGTAAACACCAACAAGATTGGAATCAGACATGAAATCCACCACATTACCATCCATACCCCCATACTCATAACAAACCAAACATAATAAACTCAAAACAGATCGAAAAGCAAAGCAAAGGGAGGGAGCACTTACCTGGGTCCAACCCCGTCAAACCTTACTAACCCTCCTCTTCGCCAACCTCTTCTTCAACTCCAACGCCTTCCGCTCAGCCCGATAATGCGGCAACACCCAAGTAAGCGTCTTCTGCAACTCGCCCAGCAATTCATCAACGGGCACTGGAAACATAATCTCGCGCTTCGTCTGCAGCGCAGGTAGAAGTCTTCCATAGGGAATGGCCGCCGCGTTACCAATTGGTTTCCTAGCTTTTCCGATGCTGCCATTGCTAGTCGTCGGCAAATCACCCTTGTAGATAGTAACAGTCTCACCCTCCGAATAACAGAAGTACACTCCAACGCTAAACTCCCCAACAAGTGGGTTCTTGCTCCGCTGGTACCATTTAGTAATAGCGTCTGTGACCTGCGACAATTCCAAGGCCTTGATATCGTCCCCGCTGAGATCAAATTGTTTGAAACTGCGGATCGGAGGCGGACGACGTTCTTGGATGTCGACGACTATCACGGCGTTTTTCTTGTTTGTAGTGCGCGTGAGGAGGTACTCTGCATTTTGGAGGAGTTTGTTGGTTGATTCGCAGATGCCGATTTCTAGGGCTAGGAAGGGGATTTCTTGGACTGGTTTGCGAGTCGTAGTTTGGTGTCTGTTTAGTCCGTACATGAGGTCCTGTAGATCTTCGAAGAACCTTTTGAACGTCGCGGTGACAGCATCGTGCAATGGACCGGGTTTACCCTTGATTATGATGTACTGTTTGAGAGAGTCGTATTCGACGAGACCACGCAGACGGGGATTGGCCTTGTACCAGTCGTGCCATTCCTGGGGACGCACTTTGAACTTGTCGACCACGAACTTGCCCTCGCCTAAGGTTGTTTGGAGTTCGGTGATGAGATCCTCGGTCACGGTGTGGATGCTTTGCACTTGGCGGAGGATTTGGTTGGATTTGAGGCGGGGGGATTCTTCGAAGAAACTGACGTCCATTGTTATGTTTAGTAGGTGAACTAAGTCGAAGGAGTGGAATTTGAATCTGTTGAATTAGAAAATGGTAGGATGCATGGTGAGAATTGCGATGGACAAGCAAGCAGCCTTTTATGTGCGATGAAATCTGATGTCTCAAGACAGTATTACCCGCTAACAAAGCATTGTCGATACCATTGTATGTACAAAGAAGCTGTTCATCATCCGTTGACGGTAGGGCCCGGGAGACATCAGATGGACAAAGAGAGCTGATTCAGTCACAAAGAGGTATCACGGATGATTCCATGAGATAAATGGAGAATGCAGTGGTTCTTCTGCCCTCTTCCATGGGGTTAATTCCTTTCGTTGAGACTCTTATCCATACCATTGCCTATGGTCTGGACAAAGCGTAGAACCTGAAGCACTAGCAAGATGGTACATCCTTGCATGAAGCCCTGTCAGATCCCAAAGGACTACAGATAAGGCGTGTTCCAAACGTCAGACAACTTCCCATCCCAGGTTGTGAAGTCCTCCATCTGCACAAGTGTATATCCCGCCTCCTCCCGTCCAATCCTCTTTGCCCATCTCTCTGAACCCTCGGAGAAATCCTTAAACCAGCTCGCCTGTAGACCAATTTCCAGCTTCTCCCAGGTCCGACTCGACGCAAGATCCTGCCACGGTCGGAACCACGCCTCCTCCAGGTGTTCAGGGACACTCCCGGCGCGTGGTGTGCAGGGTTTGTTGAGGATATAGATGACCAGACGGAGACGTTGCAGTCCACTATACGACAATCGGAGCGTCCGGAAGATAGTATTGTACATTGACCAGTCGGCATCTGACATTGTAGATGGGGTTGATGCTTTGGCTATGTGAAGGATGTCGAGCGATGTGATGGCGGTGAGATGCGATGGGACGATGACCTTGGGGAATCTGCATAGTTTCACGGCCGACGCGATGAGGAAGGTATTCGTTCCGTAGAGGATCGGGAGGGCTTCTAGATACCTGTTCTCGTTAGCTCCCAGTTGTTACCACCGTTGCAGTTAATGCTCACCCAATACGACACGTTCGCAACCACTCAACCCCCTTAAGCTTATACTTCAACAGCTCCCGTTTCCCCTTTCTCTTCAAATCGTCCAAATCATCCGACCGACACAAATCCCCCGGTTTGGCATTCTCTTCCTCGCACACCCGATGCCACCACCGCCATTGATCCGGTGGCTTCTTCTCTCTTCCCCGGTATCCGGGCGCAAATCCAAAATCATACTCCACATGGACCGGCCTCTCCCCAAATAGCTCAATATAGATTCGTTCCCGGATATTCCGGGGTAATCGTGCAAACAACGCACTCTGGGTCTGAGTGTTGACAGCGTCTGGGCTTTCTTCGGGGTCCGCAGATTCTGGCAGCGGGGTCAAGGGGCGTCGTGGTTGCGGGAGGGGCATCGCCGTGTAGTCGCGGTAGTCACGTAGGGAGGCATTGGAGTTGCAGGTGTCATAGTCGATACCTGTCTTGCTGAGGATGAGGGGCAGGTCTGTCGGGGCATCCTGGTCCTTGAGCCTCCGGCGGAAGCGTTGGAAGAACTGTGGCATTTCGAGATTGAGAGATTAAAGCGGAGCTTGCGAGTCAGCCGTTAACTGTCAGATTCGAACAGGGTTGAGGATCTTCTCCTAAGGATGTTTGTTTGTTTTCAGTCTTTGCTTTTCAGGCACTGTTTTTAATCTGGATCGACAGGGGCTATGGATCGAGGTCCGTTACTCCGAACGGTTGAACCTTGCTTCATATAAAGTGTGCTATTCTTGAATACGGGAGGGGGGGGGATTGCACCAATAATTAATCCATTGGTATTGCATAGGAGTACGTAGTTGTCTATATACGTGTAAATAAATTCCCAAAAGCCATGACATATCACCTCCCATATATTTTTGCTCTGTCGAGTAGCTGATTTGTTGATTGCAATGTTTGAATAAGCTCTTTCTGTTTTTGACACATTCCTTCCAATTTCTGCGCCTGGTTCTAAAATTGGTCGGTTCGCTGCTTCTGTTTCAGGGTCAGCTTCCGACACATTTGCATCACATCCTTCACCAACGGCCCTCCATCTTCCATAAGAGCAATGAAGTCGGAATCATCAAGGGCTTGCTCAATGGGCACCCGTTTGCATTTCATCATCACGCAGAATCGCCGTAGAGGATCATTCTGGCTGATTGTGTTGTCATAGACATAGCGGACATCATTCACAGTAAGGTCAGCTGGGTCACAGAACTCTCCATGGCGCCAAATCTCGTCCATGATGTGCCGCTTAAATCCAAGCGTTTGCAGCTTATCAGCCAATACATAGCAAGAGAACTGCAACATGAAGTTGTACTGGTCATCGGCTATACTGGCGTCATCTAACATTTCTGTATCTTGTTCTTCCTGGTCCTCGTTGCGGAAACCCCTGTCTGAGCTTGAGACATTTTTCAAGGCTAATTGATACCTCCGTGTGACTGTCGTGAATTGGCCTATAAGAGTAAGAAGAGCCCTCTGGCCAGGCCTTGTAATAGATTGGGTACTGAGTACAAACCGCGAATTTGAGTGCACTATGGGTCGCGACAACACTACCCCGAAAAAAGGCAATAGTAGCGGATGATAGTTGTTCCGCGATGACCTCATCCCACCATTCGTTTCGCCAGCTTCGTTCAGTTCTTCTAAGCAAAAGGAAACAAAAATGACAGCAAAACAGCAAAACCCAGCAGCTGAAGTCGCTGCTTCCATCAATGACGGGAGAACGCATCTTTTACTCGCTGCGACTGGCTCGGTAGCCACCATCAAACTACCCCTCATAATCTCCTCGTTCGAAAAGCACCCTAACCTCTCCATTCGCGTCATTCTCACTAAATCCGCAGCTCACTTTCTCGCCGGACAGTCGCCCGAACAACCCACCGTCGAGTCTCTATCCTCCCTCCCTAATGTCGATGGCGTTTACCGAGACGAAGATGAATGGGTGGTCCCGTGGACGAGAGAGGCCAGTATCTTGCATATAGAACTGCGGCGCTGGGCTCACTTGCTTGCGATTGTGCCGCTGTCTGCGAATGTGCTGGCGAAGATGACGGGGGGTCTGTGCGATGATCTTTTGACCACCGTGATCCGGGCTTGGGATACCGGTACTCCGGAGTCAAGGGGGCCGCCGATTCTTGTGGCGCCTGCGATGAATAGCATGATGTGGACGCATCCGTTGACTTCGAAACAATTATCGATCCTTGAGAATGAATGGTGGTGGGTGGATATTCTACCGGCGCAGTCGAAGACGCTGGCGTGTGGCGATACCGGGCAGGGTGGTATGTGCGAGTGGAAGAAGGTCGTTAGTGTGATTGAGGAACGGCTTGAGCTTTCTAGAGTATATCGCCGGAGGAATCTGATTAGCACGGACGCTGTTTGACTCGTCTGAGTTAATATTCAGATAACCTCATCTGGACTAGACCATGTAGGTAGCCGTTGTGGAGTGGTCCACTGCTGTGAGTGCCTTGTACTTATAACTTTTTTTTTTTTTTTTTTTTTTTTTTCCTCTCTGAGTGTAAGGGACAGTCTGCATCACTGTATGTACGATAGTAGTAGGTTTAGGATAGGCATCAGAATAGTCATGCACAATGCATGACATGTACTCCATACTATAACCCCCCGTCTCCATGATACCAAGACAGTCTACTGAGTAGCTCAACCTACTTCTAACATTCTAACATACCATTATGTACTTGCCGCCACTCGGCCTATAGGGCTGACAGATGCGTGTATGAATAATAATACCATTATGTACAGGATTCAATGCACGCTGTATCTAAACTCGGCATGCCGATCCGTTCCTGCGTCCCGCGATCGGCCGGGGAATATGATATCAGCCCGAAATCCGGTTCTTGCAGTCGCCCCACGAATGGCATCATCGTTCCCCAATTCGGTAAAAAGGAATCCGAGTCCCCCCCCCCCGGTTAACGTCATGGACGAATCCGGTCTTGGGCCTGGCGCGTCCACGTATTTCAGTGCCTGTCTTTCCTTTTATTCTTCACTTCTTCATCTCTCCATCATTTTAGCATCATTAAACTGTGCTTTAGCGTATACTACTACCATCCACCATGCCGAACCAAGAGAACCCTTCGAATCCTACGAGAAAGATTAACATCTTCTCAGGTACGCATTCCTTTTTGTGGCGTATTCCATCCAGTTTCTAACAAAGGCAGACTTCGATGGCACAATCTTCATGCAAGACACCGGCCACGTCCTAGTCTCCAACCTAGGCGGCGGTAACGAATTCCTCAAAAAGGTCCAGGAACAGATCAAGACCGGCGAGCGCTCCTTCCGTGAAGCCTCAGAAGACATGTGGGGGTCTTTGACTATTCCTATCGAAGATGGCTTCGATACCATGAGGAATAACATGTCCATGGATCCGAAGTTCAAGGAGTTCCATGAATTCTGCATGCAGAATAATATCTCATTTAATGTTATTAGTGCCGGGTTGAAGCCTATCTTGCGCAAGGTGTTGGATGCGTTTTTGGGGGCGCAGGAGGTGAGTCTATATTTGCTCTGTTTAGATGTGGTGGTGGTGGCGGTTGCTAACAAAATCGTGCAGTCTTCTAATATCAACATCGTGGCAAACGACGCTGATATCGACGGTTCTACACCTTGGAAACCTATCTGGTTGCACGAGACAGAATTAGGTCACGACAAGGCCCTTTCTGTCAACCAAGGTCGCGCTGAAGCAGCAGAAGCTTGCCTTGAAGGCGAAATCCCGCTCATCATCTTCATCGGCGACGGTGTTTCGGATCTCACGGCTGCCCGGGAAGCGGATATCCTGTTTGCACGGAAGGGCCTGAAGCTCGAGGAATACTGCAATCACAACCAGATCCCGTACATCCCGTTCGAAACATTTGCGGATGTGAAGAAGGAAGTCCAGCATGTCATGAAAGAGGACCTCGAGAAGACTGGTGGTACTGGTATCCCCGCACGGTTCAACCCTCGTGCCAACATGTGGCGTCGGATTTCGAGCAAGCAGGCTGTATGTTTCTATTTCCCTCTTATTTACAATATTCTGTTGGGCGAGGTGCTGACGTTTCTAGATGCCGAAATTCGTGGCCGCTACTCCGTCCAACGAAGAAAAGATGTTCCTGTGGCCCGAAGCCTTTTCCAATTACAAGCCGAAGGCATTTCCTCAGGATGGTTCCGTATAATTTCATGATGCTGGCGTCATGAGATGAGATATTATGCATAAATGCGAGACGATTTTCAATGTACATAGTGTAGAATATCAGTTACATCTGTTATACCTTTGGTAATTGAACATTTACTCTTTTCATTCAAGCTCAGTGGAGCTTTATATACATCCTAGTTGGCAGCAAGAACTGCAACCGACCACGCCGGCAAAGTAAAACTAAACGACCCATCCTGGCCAGTAACATCCTTCTCAGAAGGCGTAACAAGAGTCTGAGTATCCGTGTTAGACGCCTCGGGGTCATTGTCCGCGAGCACAATCAACTTTCCGCTGCTCAATCCTGGGATTGAGATAGTCACATCCTGCGTCTCAGACCCGTAGTTGGCCAGCTTCACATAGTAATTGTCTCCTGCGCTAGAAGCCACCCAGTAAACGGGGCCAAATGTGGAGTCCGAAGTGACCTCTTTGATGGTATCGCCTCGGTTAACGGAGAACATTTGCTGGATGTAGTAGCTGACTGTTTCGATGATCATGTCTGTCGGGTTTTGCGTGAAGGGGATCAAGTCGGGCTATATCTTTGTTAGTTGGCTGTTTCACACAATGTTGTATCTTAAGACTAGGTAACATACCGTCCATTGCGTCGAGTTAACCAGCTGCAACAGCGGCGCATAAGCCGCCATCTTCACCACATCGCTGTTCCTCTCCAATCCAATCATGTACACTGCTTCTGCGACGGAGTTCTTCATAGAGGGCCATTCGATCTCCCATCGAGAGTACTCACCAATGAAATAAGGCACCGACCGATCCTTGTTATCGAACAAGTTGAACTCGCTCACGAGTCCGTCGGCCGTGTTGTAGTCGTGGAAGTCCAACCATGCGCCTTCAGGCAAGGTGCTGGGAAGGCAAGAAGCATTGTCTGTACTGGCGATGAGGACGAGATCGGGATAGGCTGCGTGGATCGCGTCGTAGAACGCAGTGAATCGTTCCGCGTAGCTTTCGCAGCCTCCGCCCAGGTTGTCCTCATTGCCGATTTCGACCAGGGTAACGTCGTAGGGTTCTTTGTGGCCGTAGGTTGCCCGGAGAGAGCCGTAGGTGGTGCTGGAGTCACCCAGGACGAACTGGATGTGGTTAGTTTTGCTACATTCTGCAAGAATCAAACGCATAAAACAAACCTCCAACTCATTCAGGGTATCATCGATATAAGGCTGCAGCGCATCGCCCGTGAAGGGAGTGTTACCTCCCGATTCAAGAGCAAAGCCAGCCCACACACCCAAAACGGGAGTGAGATTCAAGTCTTCGCACCAGTAGAAGTATTCCATGAGACCTATTGCTTGTTAGACAAGTAATGGTACCTGACCGTTAATGGACACATACCTAGACCATCCGTGTTGTAGTAAGTCCAGGTTCCTTGGTGTCCTGGACGGTCCTCTACAGGACCAATGGTCTCATTCCATTTCCACCGCGTTTCCTCGGTGTCACCCTCCCTATAAACGATTAGCTCTGTGGTAAGCCACATGTTCAGGGAGAACATACAGGTTGTTACCACCGGGGAACCGCAGGAAAGATCCCTTGATGGAGTCCAGGGCGTTGGCCAACTGGGGCTTCAGTCCATTGTACCTAAAGATTTGTTAGGTATATCGAAACGATAAAGCTCAGTACACAAACCTTGACTTGTAGGTCTCTGGGAAAAGCTGGAGAAGACCAAAGTTAAGCGACTTGCCAGCAACCAGTTCACCGTCAACAGTCAGCTCATACAAGACATCACCGTCCGGGGCCTTGGTCGTAGGGAACGAAGTAGTGACATAGGTAAACTCATCTGCATTGGACGACACTTCAACAGACGTCGACGCATATTCTGTGCCACTGTTGGTACCGACCAGACGGATGGTGACATTGTTGGAAAAGTCTCCTTTGATCCAGAAGTAACTCTGGAATGTACTTCCATCCACGGGGATACCCCAGTAACCCTCATTGGTAAATCCAACCTGGCCTGTGGTGCCCTCGGGGACATCTAGCCTCAAGCTGTGGGGGATCGCAGATGTTAAGGGGTTTTCTGCGTCCACGGAGATCGTGGCATCTCCCATGCTAGCCCACGCAGTCAGGTTGGGTGAGCTGCCCTGAAGGCCGTTGTTTTGGAGCAGCTGGCCGTATATGCCTCCATCATTTGAGTAATTTATATCCTACTCGAACAATTAGGATCATTCTAAATTTAGTTTCCAGTAATGAGCATACCTCAAACATGAATCCATACAGAAGAGGACTAGATGAGTTTCCACCCTCGGTGGAGACCTCCAACGACACACCATGAGCATGCTGGACGAGGGAGAACAACAAGGAAAGGACACTGAGACCCGAGAGAGTCGAGAAGGCGACCATCGTGTGATTTCTGGCTTGATGGATGCATATTTTCGAGACTGGCCTGGTTACTTATTTTATAGTTGAGACCTCAACAATTAACCGGCGAGTGGTCGTTGAAAGAAACAACAGAGCTTCGATTTCAACCGACGGATCATAGCTTATGCCCGCATACCGTGCTTACTGAGAGGGATTATTGACTCTCCGTTCAGCCTGCGGAAGCAACCAATTCAACCGACTGGTCGAGTGAGTTGGCTGATGGTCTTGGTATGCTGATTCTCTGCATACTCACGCGGGGGTCCCCGCGAAGTGAGAGACAGGGGCGAGCCAACTGGAGATTCTTCGGCGAGAAGAAGACAAACTCCAGCTCTTTTAATTAACCGGGGGCCCCGCAAAAAGTTCCTGTTCATCTCGTGCCCTGTACAGAGTACTCGAATACGGTTCACGAGATTCTCAGCACTGATCATTCACGCGGTGGGACATTTCGGGATGGGCCGATATAGCGGAAATCGTGCTATGTATTGGGGCACCTGCATTTGTATCCTTTGTTAGGCCAAGAATATACGGGTTGTTCGGTCTTTTCAAGGATCATACCATGATCTTGCCGTTGGTCATGGCATAAGTCATAAGTACATAGTATGGAGAAGCGAATCGTAAGTTGACGGTGAGGCCGGTCACAGTCGTTATTGCCAAGGTTGAATTAATATCGCTCAATTGAGACCTGAATGTCCGTTCCCCTCATTTGCTCCGGATATTCTCCGTGTGGTTGTAGTAGTGTGAGTAGCCGAGGCAAAATCGGCGATGAGATCAAGATGGAGAGATCGCGGGGTCACGGGGACTGCACAAAAGTCATTTACGGTTACCATTCGGGTTATTATTTTCCACTTCAAGATCTATAGTTAACTAGTTAGTTACTATTCTGCCTTAGATGTCAGGCACAAAGACTCGGTTAACTAACTATTTTAACTTTTTAGGAATGAACGCTAGACAACATGTGGGCATAACTGTGACGTTTCAAGATGGGAATTCAATTCGATCTCCGCAAAAACTACTACACACCAGCCAAGTATCTCAAGGAAATGGCTGAAAGTCAACAGTGTGGGCCAGAAACTGGCCAACGGCATTTCAAAGAAGATAATCCAGCTCTCTTCAAAGCGCGGAGGAAGTTCTGGGCTGACAACTATGGCGACTATGAGAGAGACCTAGAGAATGAGCTTCACAACCTCGGCAGAAAAAGGCCGGGAAGGTAGTCTATCCCCAGTTTCGATCTATCTTTCTTGACGTGCTAAGGTTGGTCACAGATTGGAGTGCACTCCCATCGTCACTGTCCTTGTAGGACCGTTTGAGCATAAATTCTACTTCCACCATGGTCTTCTGTGTCGCCATTCCCTCTTATTCCGCCATATGCTGCAAAGCCCTCATTTTACCGAGGCCAAGGAGAATGTGGTCAGGCTTCCAGAAGAGGATGTGGAGCGTTTTGCTGTCTTTACAAAGTACGTGTACGTACGAGAGTATGCAGGAGATAAGCGTGACATGGGCGCTATTCTGGAAGAGGAGTCTTATTTCGAGGACGAAGATACTAATGACGAGGTCGATCTGGATTTCTCCCAGTTCGTACAAATGAATCCCGAGCAGGGACTGAGTGATATGAGTTCGGCTCCCCAGAGCGATGACCACTGTGGCTTCGGTTTTCTATTCTCATGTTATGTGCTGGCCGATATGTTGCAAGCACCAGGGCTCAAGCGCCTTGTGACGGATGAGATCCTAGAGCATGGGATGTACTGTGATGCGGCTAATCTGACAACAAAACACATCTACTATGCCTATGACAACACGATCCGGAAAGATGATCCCTTAAGGCGGTTTTGCATAATGACCAAGTTCGAACAGTCATCCATTAAAAATAAACTAGCTGATTCGGAACTTTTCACTATGGTAGAGAATGGTGGGCCGCTGGCGAGGGATATTATGTGGGCTTGTGGGAAGCAAGCTGTCAACCAGAAGCAGGAGATTATTGAAAGTCACAGACGGGAAGTCAAAGCCTGCAACACAAGGTTCGAGGGCTGGAAGACTGGATTAACACTGAAGCTGGGTATAACCGGTTAATGATGCTTCCAGCTCCTTACTATCATCCAATTCTACATCCTTACTTTCAACCAACTGCTAGTTATGGACCGGGACAAAGTGTATATGCAGGTGCGACTTATCAGCCCCCAGCAATTACTGGTTATGGATGGACTATGGGGACTCTGTCGAGCAATTACAGGCCGCGAGGAACTGTGTATCTATGTGGGTTTCTTCCAGGAGGCGTTCCCTTCTCTGGCTAAGAACCCGATACAGTCAAGTTTAGTAGGATTAAAAGCCTATGAAGGGTCCGTTGGAAAATATTACTTAAGTCAGACACCGATCAAACATCGAGGGAGAATAATCTGACAATAGCACCGGTCCCCATAGTTTTCTCGATTCACTCAGCTGTATTCTTTAGGACCATGGAGAGCCCCTAAGCCGTTAAATCTACCTAGTTAAGTGAATATTATTGCTCTTTCTTCCTTCTATTTCTTTCTCTCTTTTCAACCATATCTGTCTCTACGACATTCAATACCGTATACCTCCCAGAAATACCTGCAATTTTGCCTCTCCTGCTCAATGGTTCGTTAGCGGCTTTTATCTATTCCATCAACTTGTCCCCGGCAAGTATGTTTCTCCCGTCGCAATTTTGCGCACGGCTGATATTTTGAAAAACAGCCCTAGCGAGCACTTATTGAGAAAATACAAGAGTACGCTCATGGTGACCCCAGAAAGGAGCGCAAGGTGGTGCTGAATGAACATGCCTTACCACACATTCGACAGACGGGCGATCTGCGAGTAGTATCTCGCAGAGATCTTCTTGAATGCTTTGTGAAGACAGTGGAAGACTAGGCAACGTTGGCCTCTGATTTAAATGAATGCCTCATGGTTCTCATTTTTGGACACAACGGCATGGACACTCATGGTGTTTACATCTAACATTGCACATGGAAGCCGTCAACGCACTTCTATTTAGTATAGAGGTCACGCTCTTCATGACCTCGTGTTACTCGAGAGGATGGCTTACACAGCCAAACAATGATCGATCACAGCATTCTCAGCGTGGACATAACCATCGGCTATCAATTCACCCATGGCCTCGAAGCTCCTGCGCATTCCTATCCCTGGGAAGCTCTGATGGGGTGAAAGATAAGGTCTCTCTCGTCCGAGTTGATAAGTTGAAGATATCCTCTCTTTGAGGTCCTTCGCTAAAATACAGAACGGCTAAGCAATGGAAAACTATTGAAATCATGTCCCAAAACCTCCTACCCCGAAGGTCGTGCAGGGTTGAACTGCCATCTATAAAGGACGCGCATTTATGAGAACGATGGATGAACTTGGATTGAATGTCCACTCGAAAGTATTGCAAGTGATTATTAGAGGCAGCCAGATCTGGATTCGCTCGCAAAAGCATACAACAACCGGGACTCGTTGATGGTTACTAACGACTTTTGATTCATTCGCTTGTTTTCTCATACACTAAATACAGATTTCTTTCTATATTAATCTAAATCTATATGCAGTGCTCGTACTATCAGGAAATAGCAGCCATCGTACCAGCTTCGGCCCTGAAAATCCCTGAATATCGTTTCCTTTCGCAACAGTCCATTTGTCATTATGTAAAATTTCCTGTTTGAACCTTTTATCACTGTATTGGTCTAGATGACTTGATCACTCTAGTTTTAAGTCTCTCTTCGCCATATCACTCAGTAACCTGCGGCCAACCTTGGAATGCGGATATATTATTCCCGTCTTTTCTGAGTTGATCCTGGGTCATTTTAGCAAAGGGTATTCCAGATAATAGAAGCAGAATGCATACCTTGGTACGACCAACGATGTACCAGTGACCCTCGTCATCCACCCAGCCGATGTCCGCAGTTTTCAACCATCCATCTTGTGTCAAAGTCGCGGCTGTGGTCTCCGGATCCTTGTAGTAGCCTTCCATCGTCATATTAAATGGAGATCTGAACAAAATTTCCCCGGACTGCTTTGTCCCCAGGCGTTGGCCTTGCTCGTTCACCACTATTGCCTCGACGTTCGGCTGAAGCTTTCCAATAGTGGCATCCGTGACAGGCTCGTTTGGATCGGGCCTAGTGTATACACCTCCTCTGAAGTAACGTCAGCCACAGGATCTTAAAAAGATGATACAAAGCAATATCACTCGCTCATCCCATAAGAATTGTATACAGGGACATTATGCCGGTCCTTCCACGCGGCAATCAACTCATATGGCATATGACAACCACCCATCATCAAGCTCGCGAGGCAGGAGAAGTCCGCCTGTCCTTCTTACTTGATTAACTCTTGGATGGCAAATTTGGCTAACGTCAATCGAGTAGGTCTGAACTTGTCCAGAAGGTGAAGGACACTGTGCGTCTCATACTTGGGAAGAACAACGGCTTTGAACCGGCCCTTCAGGGGTGCTAGCAGGCCAGAGACGGTATATCCCATGCCACAGAATTTGAGGCCGGAGTACATTACTTCTTTGCTCTGTGGACGGAGATTGAACCAGTGAAGTCTCTGTTCGATGTTTCCGATAATGCCATAGTGCGTTCTTTTTACTAACTTGGGTATACCCGTCGTCCTGTACATCCGTTAGTTGGAATAAAGTAGCAAAAGGGTAATACTCGGCTAACCCTGAAGTCTGAAAAGGCACCGCCGTGGTCTCTTTCGACTTCTGTGCCGACAACCGCGGCCATTGATATGAATCACCTCCAGGAGTTTCCAGGAGATAGCTCCAATGACGAATCCCATCCGGTGTACTTTCTCCAGTGCGACTATCATCAACCACAAACAGACGATCTGTTGAGATGTTCAACTCATTTGTGGGCTTTCGAACCTCATCAAATATCGGAGGCGCAAACAGCACAAAAGCAGAATCCGACTTCTTCAGGTAAAAAGCCAGACCGGATGGCGGTCGGGTTGATGGAAGTGTACAGGATGCTCCTGCTGCGAGGATACCCAATAACGCTATAGGGAAGTGAAGGCTGGGGTCTCCGTATATGGTGACGTTTTTGCCTTGTGCTCCCAAGCGATTGAGGCCGCAGCCTACACGTTTTGCGGCATCTTTGATCTGTTCCAGAGTGTACCCTGGATAATCGGGGCCTTGAGCTGATTGTAAGAGGTAATCATTGGGCCCCCAGGACTCGGGAGTGCTGTATGGATAAGAAGAGTCGAGGATATAGGACAGTGGGTCAAGCTCTTTTCGCTTTTTTGTTCCGACCACTATTGATCGAAAATCAAAGCCTATGTGGATACTATATGCAATTGGTCTTGATGGAGTACTATTCCAGCTCTACGGCGGATCTCGGTGGACATAATACTCCACACATTCACATATTTGCATCATATCATCCACCGCCCATCTGTAGATCATGATGTTTCTATTGTTGGGAAAGGAGCAGAAGCAAGGAGAAATGCGCCTTCATGAGATAGAGCTTTCAAAATGTCGATCAGAAGAACAGAGCAACGCCACACGTAGATAGATTTCCTCATCGTCATCAAAATGTAGACATCCGGAAAGATTAAATCCACTACAAGACCAGCTTGAAGTCCGGATTTCTGTCGTCGTTGTACCCAGCATACTGGGCATATTTTCCCCGCCTCTTATCTCGATTGACTTTGGCGCAGTACAGAACATTGAAAAGGATCCTCACAGACGATGTTAGCCAGACTCCTGCGAACACCGACTTCTAACTCACATGAACCATGAAAACACAAGAAGACCGAAAACTACTGTATGGCCCCGGTGATATTGCGGTTTATCTTTGCTGGGATAGATAAATGCTGACGAGGAATAGTCAACTCATGATCTTCAAACAAGGGAATGAGAATGACTTACTCGCCACAAAACCACCACAATTCGCGATAGTCAACTGCATCGCAGAAGTAGTCGCCCGCTTATAGTGTCCGGCAGAGTTATTGGAATTCCACACCAGAATGCACGGAATACTGCCATACATCCCCATGGCCATGATGAAAGTCATTCCATATTTTAGGCGTGCGCCATGGACATTAGCAATTGCTGCATAGCCCGCGATTGCTAGTGGCATTGTGATGAGCATGAGAGTGCCTCGAAGTTGCAGCCAATCAGAAACGAAAGCCACCATCACTGTTCATGCGTTAGACGGGTTTTCTGGTCTCGAAAGAGGGACTCTTACCGGTGAAGACTGCTGCTACTGCATACGGAATCACGGACCACAACTGCACTTGGTCCTCATTTGCTGCGTAGTCGCTGTCGTTGATGATAGTTGGGAGAAACAACCCAAAGGAGTACATCCCAGACAGCAAAGAGAAATATGCTGCTGCTGAGAGCCACATCCGAGGATCTAGAATACCTCTGCGTACCTCGGACCATTGGAAGCTCTCTTGTTCACTTGCTAGGGTGCTACTTCATTTTAGCACATCCAACTCTATCCCTAATGCAGACCGGTGAAAGAGAGCTTACCCTGCTGGTGCACATGGATTATCACCTGACAGTCGCTCACGAACAAATTCACGTTCCTCAAGTGTCAAGAATGGTGCTGTCGTGGGGTTGTTTGGGAGGCCAAAATAAGTAAGAGCAGCACATGTGACTGTCTGAGTGTTGACATTCCTGGTTAGAGTGGATCTTCGATTGCGCTGTACATACTTACCAATAATCCTTCAATGATGAAAATCCAACGCCAACCTTCCAGGTTTCCTCGAGGGCCAATTTCAGCCAGCCCGTGGGCCAAAAGACCTGTTAACGTCAGCTTCAATTCCAGGAGGAATAAGGCTTAAATTACCTCCAAAAGCACCAGATAACGATGCTGCAGTATAAAACAGACCAATACGCAAGGCCAAATCACTTCGTCGGTAAAAGAAGGACAAATACAATACCATCCCAGGTAGCAATCCACCTTCAAAAGCACCAAGCAGGCAGCGTACAGCAACAAAGCCGGCAAAGTTGCGTACGAAGCCCAGACACAATGTCATCACGCCCCATAGTGCTGTGATCAGAGGTAACCAGATCCTTGGGGATGCTTTCTTGAGGATGAGATTACTCGGTAGCTCACTATCGGTGGGGGATGGTTAGTAAATTGCATTCGGATGCTCGGGAGATTCTAACTCGCCTGAGAACGTAGGTGAGATAGTAGACTGCAAGACCGATATCGTATTGGTGATCCGTGATTCCAATGTCTTCTTCGAGGCCGATGATCTTTGCGTTCCCGACGTTGGTACGGTCCAAGAAGGAGAGAAGGAAGATCAATGCTAGGATTGGGAGGATCCTATAGACAGAATACACCATTAGACATGTCGGTTCACCAATTTCGCTTGGAATCGTCTCTTACCTTGTGTCTAGCTTGAATAGAACTCGCCGGGCTAGCTTCTGCTGGTAAGCTAGGTCCTGCACTGAGTCGGTTGACTTGTGCGAGGTGTCCGGCTTCTCATCGTCAATTCCAGGAGTGTCCATGTTCACTGATTCAATCATCGTTGAAACCAAACTGAAAAAGATAGCAATAAGAAGGGAGCATTCCGATCACATCACGGCTCTATCTAAGAACCCCATCCTGACTCTGACCGTCAACTCGGCCACCAATTCTACGGCCGACTGCCGCAAGTGCGCACAGGCCGGCCATGTGTCATCTGAGGTACATCCGCTAGTTAACGCTAAGCAATAACTAATAAGCAATACAAAGCAAATGTGCTATGTACCCCGGATTCCCCGGATTTTCGCGTCTTGGGCAAAAAGCTTGGCGATCAGTGTAAAATACGGTCATTACACTGTAATCAATCTGTTTCGGCATTGGAGGCCCGCCGGCTCTTAGATCTCCCGATCGGTCTATATTTCTGGATGCCGAGGCAAATATAATCGCTCATTTCTCTGGCATTTCTAACATGAAGACATACGGAAGCAAGATTGACAGAAGGCAATTAGTTATGTCAAAGTTATCGAACAGTCTCAAGGCGCTGATTAACAGCCCCAGTGCCCGGCCGGGTACTGTGCCTGCTCCGCGCAATATCCAATCCGTCTTTCACAAGATTCAACAGGATGCCGAATCCAACCATGTCTCGCAGCCTTCGTGGGTGGCCTTATCAGTCAGTTATACCCTTTCTTCCATTAACAGAACCTACTCAGAAGCTAATATGTGGAGAAATGGTGCAGACAGCAGCCACAATGACCATGAACTCCCCCGACTCCCTCGGCGTCCTCTTCAACCAAGCAACCTCGGCCTCGCAATCCCCCGAAGAAAGCATAGCAACCGCAGAACTCATGCGCGAAATCGGCCTGAAATGCATCAGCTTCAACGGTATCCCGCGCACCATCAACTGCCTCAACGCTTTCAAAGCCGACCTCCCTGAGTCCGTGGCCGCGAAGCTCTCGAAAACCCCGACCCGCACGCCCACGGTCGAGAATATCAATGAGATCCGCGAGCGTGGGCGAAACCTGTGGGACTCGATTTATCGGCCGTTTGAGAATAAGTTGTATGAGAAGCTTGCGGATGCGCATCCGGATTTGCCAGTGCATATTTTGAACGGGAACTACGGGGCGCTGTTGTCGGATCCTGCGGGGAGGTCGACGGGGGCGAATGCCGGGAGAGTATTGACTTCCATTGTGGCTGTTGCTTGTTTGCGAGCGCAGACGGGTGTTGGGCCGCAGGTTACGTCGCATGTATTTGGGTTACGGAAGGCGCTTGAGGATGGGACGTGGGAAAGTGATGTTGAAAGTAAGAAGGGGGCTAAGTGGTTGGCTAGTGATGAGGGTAATACCTGGATTTTGAACAGTGTCGACCGAATCGTTGAGTCTATCAGCCAGGATGAGGGAACGAATTTCGCCCCTAGCAGAACCTCTAAGCTGTAAATAAGAGGCACTGTCTTGTATATGCGTGGTTTATTTTTTGTATTTTGTAGAGTCAATATGAACTGACGGATATCTCATATGTACATCGTCTTATACACTATCATATATGTCCACAAACATGAAATGCTATGTTACAATGCTTATTCCATGACTTCCAAATGGTCCGCGACAGCAAACTCAGCACCTGTCTTGCTCCGGACTTCCTCAACTTCCACACCAGGGGCCAGCTCCGTCAACAGGAGCGTACCCTGGGTCCGGTCAACCTGGAAGACGCACTAGATTTCGTTCGTCAGCGTGCCTGGTTCTTCTTGTTTCTTGCCAATCATATACTCACCAGATCCGTGATGACCGTGCTAACGCAGTGCGCACCGGTCAAAGGCAGACTGCAATCTGCCACGACCTTTGGAGAGCCATCCTTGGCCATGTGGCTGGTGGCCACCACAATCTTGGTCTGATCGGGGTTCGAGATCAGGTCCATGGCACCTCCCATGCCCTTGAAGACTTTTCCGGGGATCATGTAGTTGGCAAGGTCACCCTTTGCGCTGACTTGCAGAGCCTGTCACAACTTGTTAGCCCAAATTCATTTTTCACCAGCTACGAAGAGATGGACGAACCCCAAGAATGGACACATCGACGTGTCCACCCCGAATCATACCGAATGACTCGGAGCTGTCAAATGTAGAGGCTCCGTCAACGAGGGTAACGGTTTCCTTTCCGGCGTTGATAATGTCGCTGAACCTTGGTTAGAAGAGACAGCGTACACAATTGAGATGGTAACTTACGCATCTACTTCATCCTCTGTAGGGTACGGTCCCTGCCATTTTATTAGTTATCGAACATGGCTGTAGCCTAAGACCAATCCACTTACCATTCCCAGAAGGCCATTCTCCGACTGGACCCAGACCTTGACATCTTCCGGCAAGAATGACGGAGCTAATGTGGGAATACCTGTATAGTGTTAGACTACAGCGATATAAACTGAAGATACATCCTTTTCTTACCAACACCAAGGTTAACATAATAACCCTGCTTGAGCTCCTTCGCGGCTCTCTTGGCAATCCGGTTCCTCTGAGCCAGAGCAGCACTCTTTTCTGATTTCACCGCACTCTCATCATCGGCCGAGCGTAGCTTCTTGATCTCAATGCTCTTCGGATCGGTAGCAGGAACAATCCTGTTCACGAAGATTCCTGGCAGGTCAACGTCGTTGGGGTTGATCGAGCCGACAGGGACAATGTTTTCCGCTTCCACAATGGTAATATCCGCTGCTTTGGCCATAATCGGACCAAATGCCTTGGTAGTGTAACTGATCATACTTAGTTTTCTGAAACCCAAAACCGGAGCGTGCAAGACTTACCGGAAAACACAGTTACCAGCTTGATCTGCTTTCCATGCGCGGAGAATCGCAACATCACCTGTTATGGCGGTTTCCATCAAGTATGTCTTGTTGTTGAACTCTCTAGTTTCGCGAGGCTTGCCGTGCTCCATGGCCTTGCCGGAGGCGTCCATGCGAACGGGAATCCGTCCATCCTGGAGGAAGGTGTCTAGATTGCGATCGAGTCAGATACCTTCATGTGCGAAGTGCAATCTTTGGTATACTCACGAGCTCCTGTAGGAGTGAAAAACGCCGGAATTCCAGCGCCTCCTGCACGCATCCGCTCCGCCAACGTGCCTTGCGGGCACAGCTCAATGGAAATCTCCCCCGTCAAATACTTCTGCTCAAGAGGCTTGTTGTTGCCAAGGTATGAAAGGATGAGTTTGTTAACCTGGCCCGCTTGCGTGAGCGTCGCAAGTCCCCCTTTACCAGGAGTGCCAGCGTTGTTCGAAATCGCGGTTAAAGAATGCAAGTTCTCTGATCCACGACGGTGTATAGCGGAGATGAGGGTTTCTAGCAGCCATAAGCGTTAGCTGCGTCTATACGCTTCCTTCAATTGCTTGATACATACCAGCAACACCGCAAAGGCCAAACCCTGAGCTCAGAATAACAGACCCGCTCTTCAGGTCAGCGACTGCCTCGTCCGCATCCTTGAATAGTTTCGAAGCGCCGCGCTCAATTGTTGGAGCCAGTCGCTGTCGCGCACTTGGGAGGGTTGAGTATGACTTTGCGCAGGCAATGGTACCGGGCTGGAATGAAGGTCGCAAATTTGCTCTGCAACGAACTCCCAGTTGAAGCCGGGGCCGACAGACGGAGAGCGACCTCCGTGATAGAGACAATGGTGAAACCCGTAATGTCGCCATAATTGACGTTCCTTGTACCCCTATTCTGAGGATAGTAAACTTTTTAAAGGTCAAGATTCAGGAACCAAACCATTCGAAAAAGAAAATCCGTTAAATATGCGAAATGGCGAGATGACGGCATGGTCGGTGTTCGGGGCTACTTCTGGACGCCGACGGAGGCGCCCCTCCTCCGAGACCCTCGATGCAAGAAGCAACCGAGGGAACTTGTAGAGATGGCTTTTACAGATTGAAATCCGAGCCATTGTTGGCCAAATCCAACCAGTCCCATCGCAGCATGTCGTCAAATGGGACACCAGGGACGGTGGTGCCAAATGCTGTACCAGCTCGGTTCACAGCGTCAATAATTTGGTCGTCAGACATCGCAGAGAACTGCAGAGGTTCCATCCAGAGTAGAGACGGCGAGGCTGATGGTTTAGCAGTTGTGACTATGGGATCATATCCATCCAAGGACGGCATGGGCTGCAGCGCCTCCGTGGATCCCATTGCTCTCCGTTGATCGAATTGGTTATGAGAACTCGATCCCACAGGCACACGCCGGATTAGCTCCCGTAGGAATCTCCCATATAGGACAGAAGCTCCATGACGATGGCTAGGGGTAGCTCCAATACGCTCTAGCACACCTGCAGTCTCCTCAATGAGATTTCGCACGCTTGGGGCCAAGCTGGACCTGCTGTCACCTGGCGTAACGCTAAGGCTAAGTGCTGAACAAGCAGCAAAGGAGATCATAATGACGGTATTGTTCGGCATCGACTTGAGACGCGCCTCGCCTTGAATAGCAGCCCGTAGGACATTCAGCGCAGAGGAAAGGGCAGCAGCGCGGAAAAATCGCTTGACTTCGATAGGCGCCGTGGGATGATTTATAACACCAGCGTAGGTTGATAACAGAGTATGAGTGACCAAGATGTCAACATATGGTGGAAGTGACAGTGCTTGAGGATATCAGTTTTTGAAACATAGTAGTACAGGAACTCAAGGTGTCTGCTCACATTGACCTTCTCCAATTGCCGGCGCCCATGTTGCATACCAACGGTCATAGAAACTTTCGATCATCGTCTTGATCCTGTATATCGTCAGAAGACAGTTTGGCGGATGGTTAATGGAAACTTACGATTGAGCTGCCTCGGGTCCCGTATCGACAACTTGGTAGTTGTCACAGCTGGATTTGACCTTTCTAAATAGTTCATCCTGTTGACAAACAATGAGATAAATGCTCTTGATAACCATGAATACTACTCACCAGGTTCCTTCGTAAGACGGTCATGGAATTCATGGGACCGTCTCGCGAGTCCGCAATGTCTGAAATGTGCCAGTGGTCACAATTCTCAACAAGAGTGGTTGGAGGAACAGTATAGCTCCGTCCACGGGCCAGGCATACTCTGCAAGTACTGAATCAGTCACAACTTTCCAAACATCTCATTTGACAGTTGCATACCCTCGTTCTAAAACGAACAGTGCTATCCAAGCCCTCTCTCGTCGTCGCAGTAATCGTCGGCCCCATTCAGATCCGGCATCCACATTATCGAAACCATCCATATGCAGTGCCCTTTTCGCATCAATGCAATCAGCCTTGGCCAGTCTTTTCAAAAGACTGCTGTCGAAGCTCGATGAAGGGACAACAATCTTGTTGAGAGACAAATCCAGCGCCACGGTCAGAGCCATCGCAATGTAGGCGCAAGCATCATCGTCCCCTAAACATTTTCCCGGGGCCATCCATGGAACGTTGACCATAAACGCGAGAACTATTTCGACTGACCTATGACGCTGTACGACAACCGTATTTGCCAAAGATCTGCAATGCCTGAACAGTCTTTTCGATAGAGCTGCAGCAGATGACAAGAAGAGAGTAGTTGCAGCGAGGATCGATGTGAAAAGGAACGCAGACTGTGCGCGTACAAATGACACTGTATGAATTAGAGGATCAAGGCCCCATCGAGTATGCGCTAGGTTCTGGTAAAAGCTGTGCCGACCATGGTCAGTCTCGCTGCTAGGAGTAAGCCTTGGGATTTAACGTACAAAGAAAAAAGCGATTCCGCTTCTTCTACTGTAACAAGCCCCAGATCCATGGGATCCAATTCCGGTCCGACATCCCGACTGGCTCGCACAGGAACGAAAAATGAATTGGTGCCTGGGTTGTGGTCTTGAGTCTGGGATATTGCTGGTTGCTGCCATAAAGGTACATGAGCTTTCTGCGTCTCAGCTGGTGATAGTTGAAGATCAGAGGCTCTCGCGAGCAACTGCAGGGGATTCTCCGCGTCATCCAAAGTCAGGCTATCTTCCTGCTCGCGAGGAGATGGAAGACTGTGAGTTTGATCCGGATTCTCTGAGAAGTCATCGGTTTCGCTATACGAAGCTTGCTGCTGGTCTTGTGCCTTGCCTAGGAGATCTTGGAGGTTTGAGATGACCTTATGAGCAGCATCAGACGCAACCGCGTCTTCACCTCTGGGACGCTTGATGGCCTGTTCTATTTGGTATAGCGCCTTTTCCAGACCTGTGCGTTTACTAGAACTCATACATTAGTACCATGTACGTGTACAGTAAGGGATATATGGACTTACTTCTTGACACCTTTCTGCCTCCCCACATGGTGACTAGGGACTATGCATTCCAAATTAGATTGCTTGCATCGCTCGCACGGCATTTCATTCTGATCCCGGCTACATCGGATCTTGCTTCTTCTGCAGTTGAGACATGCAGCCTGCTTTCCATGCGAGATCCTGCTGGGTTTTGATACCGCAGCGTGTGCATGGTCCATTACTCGTAAATATAAAAAACGTTTATCAATTGCGAAAAAGCCGCCATGCAATGCAATTGTCCGGAACACAACCTGGTTCGAGAAATGGTAGTGAAGCGGTAAAAGTCCGATATTGTTCAAGCACGGATCGCCAAGGAGTCAGATACACCGGCCGGGCTGTCGGCAATTAGTTTTCCAAAAACAAAAGTCCTCCAATTGAGTGTAGAACAACAAGTGAGGAGAAGTTATTGGAGAAAAAAAAAGATAAGCCGAAATAAAAAAGCAAAAAAAAAAAAGTGATCAATCGTGATCGTCTTCAGTTGAAGCCGAACGCGGGGGTCGAACCCGCAACCTTGAGATTAAGAGTCTCACGCTCTACCGATTGAGCTAGCCCGGCTGGGCTGTTGAAATTTCGGTTTCTTAGTGTGTTTGATAAGGCCTACGCAGTCATACCTTTGTCATGGCATCAGATTCAAGAGTAAAGAAAAAAAAAAAAAAAGAAAGAAAAGAAAAGAGAAACATATTTTGAATGAATGAATACACATTATGGGATATATATCTATCTGTCATATCATCTTTGGTTTTTTTTGTCCCAAGCGAAAAAAAAAAAAAAAAAAAAAGAAATAATCCGAGCGAGTGCAAGACAATCGGACCAAAAAAAGATTTGACCGACGCAGGGCTCGAACCTGCAATCTCTTGATTCGAAGTCAAGCGCCTTACCATTAGGCCAGCCGGCCTGTAATCCTTCCTTTGCTGATGATTATTTGTTTACTAGTATCAAACATAAAGCGAAGAAGAAATTGGTTTCATATTCTGATTGAGAATATTGCTTGATCTAGACATAGAACTTGGCTTAAACTATTTGCATCGTCCTTTAGTTAGTGCCGGTGCCCATACCTGCTCAGTGCCACATCAAAAGGAATCCATTCAATCTACGCCTAACACAGCATTATCAATGCATAAAGAATGCTCACAGACAGTCCAACTCAGGCAAAGAGCAAAAACATAACAGTATAATCAAATCAAGGACATAACATCGTAAGAGGTCGGTCTAATCAGTCAAAACAAGGTCAATCAATTCGCAGCCCGAAGCGCCCGTAACCTCGCACCCAAACCATCCTCCAACTCCGTATCAGCAGCCTGCTTCTGCTCCTTAACATCCTCCTTAGGGGCCGTATCCGCATCCAGAGCCACCCGCATATCAACGCCCGCATCATCCGCCAGCTGCTCCATCATCCGGTCAACCTCAGTCTCGCCTTCAGCACCGTACTCCTGCATTGAGACTCCCTGCGCCACGTCCTCAATCGCACTACTCGCGATTTTGAAATCCTCCGAACGGGCCAGAAAGTTGTTTGCATGCGAGACGAGATGTTCCAGGTTGACGCTCTTGGAGGCCGCGTCCAGACCCCGCGAGGCTAGTGCCAGTGTCCGTGATGTGTCCCGGGTGCTCTGGGCAGCTTTCAGCTCGTTGATTATCACGTCTGCTCGGGCGGCTTCGGCGCGGAGGGTGACTTGTCGTCGTTTCTCGCGGACGGCTGAGGCGGCGTGGATGCGGGCGATTTGGAATTCGCGGTTTTTCATGGCCTTGTCGGCCTTGGCTTTTTCGGATTTGAAGGTGGCATCGGCTCGGACGGCTTCTTTCTTGAGGCGGTTCGAGTGCAGCTGGTTTGCGCAAAAAGAGGCGTCAGTAGGCAGGCGAGTTTGCGCTGCGGCGGGGTTATCACTCACCTTGACATTTGTGCGTGCCTCGAAGATAGGATCCTTTCGAACCATTTTGTCTGGAGCGTATTGATAAAGCGATTATTATGAGATTTACGGGAGTTGAAAGAGCGTTATTGGATGTGCAGTGGAAGAAGTGCAAGTTCTAGACATGCCGTATTGGGCGTGGCGACAGATCGCCGCCGGGTGCGGAGGCGGAGCAACACTGCGATTCTGGCTGAGGCTGTGCCTTTTACAGATAATATAGAAGAGTAAAACAGATACAGAAAATAGAGACTACGGCGACTAATTCATACAAGAACCATAGTAAATATAATAGTTAATATTGTATTATTATTCGTCGAATTCATATCTGACTAGCCGGGTCAACCGCTAGCTATATCTCAGTGACACGTGAGTTAAAAACACATAAAAAGTGCAAAGTAATATGATACAAGCAAGAATAAAAAGCGAAAACGACAATGCGTTCACAGAAATTCCTTGCCCATAAGGAGAGACGATAATGTCTCACCCATAGTATTCGAATTCGAACGCCGTGAAGAACTCCGATTCCCAATAAGCTTCCCGACCCGCGCTAATCTTAAACCATTGTTATTAGAAGTAGTATTTCGTTGTCTTCGAGGGTGCCCTGGCTTCTTTTGGAGACAGTCAATTACCAAAGCCATGGTCAATAGGGACTCCCAGTTCTGTCGACCTGCGACGCCATCAATAGCGGCCGCCTGGTGCCCCCGGGGAAGACTGTCGCTAACAGCCAGCTGCAATGCTCTGCCCGTCGCATCGCGAAGTGGACGCGCCAAGGCTGGGCTGCACGCTAGAAGTCTTGCGAGAAGTCTCATCCGGAAGACCGTGGGCCTGCTGGTCGATGTCATCGAAGGAGACAGAGTCGGGGTCGAAATTAACCATAGAATCAAAGGGAAATGCTGATAGATCTCCGTTGTCGAAAACTCCAAAGGTGAGCCCATCTTCAACGACCGAAGAATCAGGCTCAGCGGACGAATCACCGTGGAATAGGCGGTGGAAGTCATCGTCAGAAAGAGGAGCTGCAACGTCACGTGCAGCGTTAGGTTCTGCGCCGGAGCCGAGGTCGAAGAGAGGGAGGGCGCTTCCAACTCCTTCGAGTCCAGAGACGGACACTGCAGGTCACACAACATCGCTGCAGGATGTTGTGTCGCGTCGGAGGACTCGGCCAGAGTGGAAGGCTTCAAGGTAGGAGAGTAGTCGGTGACGGACGGGGTGGGGAAAGGAATTCGTTCCATGGGGAGCTCATCGCCCTCCTGCTTGAACAAGGTGGGAGTCAAAGTAGGAGATTGGGCGGCCGGCGAAGCGGGCTTAGGAGACACGCTGCGAGATCCGCGGACCTCCGCAGACAACTGGATGACTTGCTGGTTCAGACGGTTGTTCTCAACCTCCATCTGCGATAGACGCGATAGGAGGAACTGGTTCTGTTGTTCCATCTGGATCTTCTCATTCTCCAGCTTCTCCATTTCGAGCCTCTTGCGCTCGCGGGAGGTTTGGGCCGCGGCGCGGTTGCGAAGAACGCGCTCAATACGACGCTGTTCCTTTTCATCGTCGGTCTTGGCTCGTTTTCTAGTGTTTGTTAGTGAACTGTTCCTGTGTTTTTGTTGTCTAGAATGGAACATACCTAGGAGGCAAGTTCGTCTTGGGGGTTGGGAGTTCCTGGCCCCATGACTTTCTCTTCTTGGTGGGTCTCTTCTCATCTGTCCCCTGCTCATCGCATTCATCGTCGTTCAAAGAGGTATCTGCGGGGGATACGGTGAGGGGCATATCCGATTCCGGGGTGCCCCGCAACGAGTCGATCGAGGAGAACTGATCGTCGTCCATGGTGTGTTATGCAGAGACGTTGATATGGTGACAAAGACTAGTGTAATATGTGGGTGTTGGGGTGTAGTGGTGTAGTGGTGTAGTGGTGATTTTTGTGGAGGGTCTTGTCAAGTATAATTTGATGGAGACAGAGATGGTTGTCCAGGCCCGGGTTCAATAAGAGTTAACCAAAGGCCACGGTGGCATAACTGACAAACCGGAGTCACAGCCCCGAAGAAACACGATGAAAGGTAGAGACAGAGGGGAGAAGACGTCAATGGGACCAGAATAGGAAATAGGTATAGAAAAGGACACAGTGTTCGGATCACATATAAAAAGCGACTTGAGGAACGGGAAAGAGAGTCAAGACTCGGAGGGAAACGTCGCCTCTTTAAGAGGCCAGCGTGGTCAGTTTTCCAGGCCGTAAGGGGGCGCAGTACTGGGTATGACGGTATCTTACGCGTGCCCCTTTGATGGAGTCTTTGTTGGTGAAGGCGGGAGTGAATCATACAGTAATTACGTGTAATATGGAGCAAGTGTGGTCTGGGCCACCCACTGCGCCCCTGAGAGGCTGAAACGGAGTGCGTCAGATCTCCGAATCTTCCGCCATTTACGTTGGGTCCTTTGGGTCCTTTGGGTCCCTACGCAGACCGCTTGGAATTCCCACCGAAGCCCATCGAAGCTGGTTGGCGGTGAATGTGCATCTTCTATGTTTAGACCCGTCACTCAGGCACTTCTGTAAGGCACTCTCTGGTACTCTGGTACTCTCGTATACTTGTGCTTATGATAATGTATTATTGAGAATAATCGAGCATAATATTGTGATGCCTATACTCCGTACACGCAAATTGCTTCATAGCATACGTACTTCATTATTCTGTGATAGATCAGGGGCTTCTTCGGGCGGTCTGGAAAGGAACCACCGGTCAGGGATAGTGGCTGGAGTGGACTACCACTATATCCCGTCCAGCGTTGCCATTCGACCAAATCATCTCATAGTCACCTGAAGTGGTCTATCAGTGGGCATCCCATCTTCCGGGTACTCTGTACCCAACAGTACTTATTCAAACTTATGTCTATGTAAAACAGTCATAAACAAGAAACACATTTTGTAGCAATAAAACAGATACGCCATGTATTCACAAAATAATCATAGATCCATAATTTAAAAAATAAAAAATAAAATAAAAGAGAAACTACTCCATATCCATCGTGTCGTCCCCCGCCTCCAATGCACTCAGCTTCTCCGGATCGGGCACCACTACGCCCCGACCCCGGCCGGCCAACAGCTCCCGTCGCACTTCCGGCCCAATGTCCTTGTGGCCCCGCACCAACAGAAGATCCAGAAGCGCTTCCCGCTGATCCTCTGTAATATCGTTGCGGTATCGCTGCGCAAACACTAACAGGCATTGGTGCCACAACACTGGCAGCTTGTAGTACTTGGCCCCGCTTCCCGATGGCCCGTCGGTCATCATCGCGTCCTCGCCATTATCACTGGCCCGGAATCGTAGGAAATGGAACACTAGCGCGTCAATCACCTTGTACGGAAGTGCGTACTTCTTCTCCAAGAAGGCACGGATGAACATGTTCACCGCTCCCGTGCTCTCCAGCGACTTGAGCGATTGCTCCGCGGCCAAGTCACACATTCGGAGAAGGGCCGCGGCAGAGTGCAAAACCGGAATTGACACTCGTGCAATCACAGACGACACAATGTGTGCCTCCCGCAGCGTACACATCCCGCCCGACACAAGCGGGAACAGCAAGCCCTTGAAAAAGCATGCCGGCTTGTAAAGTGCCTTCCGCAGTGCGTTGTAAGTGTGGACATTGAGTTTTTTCGTCTCGCGGATCTCGTCGCGAACCCGGTCAAGCAGCACCATCGAGATGAATTCTTGGGCAACAACCGCCTTGGACGAAATGAAAAGTCTGGTGGCTGCATAGACAGCGTTGGCCGTCCATGACTCCGGTCGCGTGATATCGAGGAGGGTCTCCCAGTTGGGCACCGAGGGGAGAACCTTGAAGGGTTTCGGAAGAGGGCCGGACTTGTAGCGAGACAGGATCGTGCCAACCCTAACTTCGTCAGCACCGATCGCACCAAGAGGTATCATCAACAGTAAAGAGATGCTCACTTTTCATATACTTCGATTGCCTTGGCTGGGATTTGGACTGCATCCTCCGGTAATCCACCACCTTGAATTAAACCGCTGTCGCCAGATTCCTTTGCTTCGTGCTCCGCAATCTTCTCGAGGATCAGATCCGCTAGGTTCGTAGTCTGGCCGCCGGAGCCGGGGTTGAATATGGGGTCTTCGTCGCCAGCCGGAATGAATTTGTTGAACACGTCAAGGTCATTCGGGTCGACCTCCTATGATAGCATTAGAGTGTAGTCCTCAACAAATACCTCGATCAAAAGAACGGCATACCACTTGCTCAACTTCCTCATCCTCGTCACCCCATTCATCCTCTCCGAACTTGTCCTCGTCATCCGACACAGGTTCGTCACCTTCCAACCGTGACTCGAAATCGAAAGCGTGGTTGACTTTCCCGTCCGTCTCTCCTCTTGCAGCCTTTTGCTCAGTGGCATCCTCGTCGGCCAGTTCCTGTCCGATCTGCAGAATCTTGCGCGACTGTTTCGCATCGACAAAGCGCTCGCCATCTTCGTCCGTCTGTGACTTGCGCTTATTCTTCTTGCTGGGTTGGGTCCGGATATGGCCCACAGACGTCATGTCCTCCGCCAGAGGATTATGTCTGCGGGCAGCCGCAGCGCTGCGCGAGGGTGTTGTTGCTTTAGGCATTGCGAACGATTTTTGCTCGGATATCTCGTAACGGTTCTGGGTGGGAATCAATGGTTAAGCGGAAAGACCCTGCTTCGTATGAGGTCGCCGTATGTTGTCCTGCCGATCGATTGACAGAAAACCGGACTATATACCGGGGAAAAGTAGATATTATCCTAATCTCTCGACTTTTCCTTCACCCGCATTGGGAAATTGTGTGTAAATTTTAGATCACGTGCGATTAGCTCCGGGCGGTCTGTAAATTTTTTCTGCGATACCCACTTTGAGAGGTTTTACCGCCTTGGAATATGTCTCAGTCATTGGTGGATATGAATTCACCGCTCTCATGCCCCTCTGCTCTAGTCCAATTTTCAGCCAAACAAATCCACGGAGGGGATCTTTTCTGCCCGGAAAACTTTTGCTGACCGCCCTTGAACTGCTTGTCTTCCGCCTTTGCGCGTTCGAGACAGGGACATCATAGGGACATGACTGAGTCTTGACTGGTCAGCTTTTATGAATATTATTGTGGAAATCTCCAATTACCAATTCTCTTGGTTTGAACGCGGCTTTTCTTTGACTCTGAAGTAGCAGAAGTGGGTTCCTGATACGAGCACACGTCCCTTCGGAGATCGTTGCTTGCGCGACTCTTCCACCTCAATTGAATATCTGTGAGTATGGCGCGCTCCTCGCTCTTCAACTACTACCAATATCTCAGACCATGCTGACGGTTCCAATTCGTAGTTCGTCTATATACCCCATCACTCCTTGAGACTTCCGCTTTTTGCCTTTCGTACCTCGCGATAGCGCATATCCTGTTCTTTATCCGTTGATCACGCCCGTTGTCGCAATCGCACTTCAGACGAGCAATAATACGAGATCTTGGTCTTTAAGACGGCATCTATATCAGCGGGACACGTATCTTGCTGTAGCAAGTGAACATCATTGCATTTTAAATTGCAATGGCATCCGGACAGCCAACAGGCGCTTCTGCGCCCGCCTCAAATGTTAACTCCCCAGGGGGCACGCCATCCTTTAATGGTGCAGGTCTAGACTTGAATCCGGGTTCCTCACCAGCTCCTCCCAGTAATGCGTCAGTGCAGCTCGACACGAAATCAAAGCGCAACAAGCGTGATAGTCGCAAGAAGCGAGAAGCCAAGGGTCTAGACCAGGAAAGCGCACCACCACCAAAGAAGAAAAGTGCTGTCGTACAGAACATTGCACTCCCGAGCTCTGATCTCAGTATACTCAGGCCTCTACTCCTTGCCGAACCCAAACATTCAGACTTATTACCGCCGCAGCCACGGCAGATGAATCCCGTGACCCGGAAGTCATCGAGCGCAAACAGTCAGCATTGGGACTTTTATGAAGTGGTGGACAAACTTACAAATAAGAATGGTTTCCGCTATAGCTATGCCATAGCTGACCCAGGGTTTCCGCATATCAAATACCGCCAGACCGATCTTCACCCATACCATGCACGTTTCAGCTTTGAAGATTCTCCCGCTGCGATCCAATTCTCCAAAGATGCCCTTGCTGTTACTACCCCTGAGCCATGGCATTCTGCACGGGCAAATGTGTGCGCGCGTGAAGGGATATATTATTACGAGGCACGGATTATAAGTGGTGTAGTCAATGACCCTCAAGCGCCACCAACGAATGGAAACGCCAAGCCACCATCAAGAGGTCATGTTCGCCTTGGGTTTGCACGACGAGAGGCTGACCTTGACGTGAACGTCGGCGTTGATTGCTACGGGTATGGGATTCGCGATGTGAACGGGGAGGTGGTCAATCGAATGCGCTGCGAGCACCTCTTCCCCAAAGGCGAGTCCATCCGTGAAGGCGATGTAATTGGCATGCTCATCACCCTCCCACCATTGTCACTTCACAAGAAAATCGTGGAAGGCACATATGACCCTGCAGTCGATGGCAATGCCTCGGCGCAAAACCCAGAATATCCCTACAGTTCCAACATCATCCGTGACCGTATACCTTTCCATTACAAAAACGACTTTTGCTGGCAACAATCAAACGTATTCCCAACAAAACATCTCCGCGACTATGCCTATAACCTGAAAGACACACCTAGCCAGGGACCTCCATCACCATTGAACAGTGAAGATGCTTCCATGCGCACGCTGCCAGGATCTAGCATCACAATATTCAAAAACGGCGTCAAAATGGGCACACCGTTTAAAGAACTATACACATTCCTCCCACCTGCTAGTCGTCTCGCAAACGGCACCAACAACCTGGGCCTAGGGGAACGAGAAAACGCAGACGATGGGATGATTGGATACTATCCCGCGGTTAGTTGCTACGGCGGAGGTGCGGTCGAATGTCGTTTTGAGGGTCCGTGGTGGTTTGGCCCACCGTCCGAGACCGAGAATCGTGAGCCCGTGCGGCCCATGGGCGACCGGTTCAATGACCAGATCGTCGAGGACGTCATGGCAGACATCGTTGACGAAGTCGAGGCTATGATGGTCTGGGGCGGTGTGGATGGTGATGTTGTTGGGAATGCGCGGATGGATAGCACTGAGTCCGGTGCTGTTGGTGGCTCGGAGGTCTTGAAGGGCGGAGTTGGGGCTGCGTTTGAATCGGCAGGGTCTACGGGTGGTAATAATACTCCCACGACGGGGGTGGCTGATGGAGCGCCGGGACATACTGCCTTTGACGACGCCATGGATTCGGGGGCAACAGGTACAACGAATGTGGAGGCGTCAGGCGTGAAGGTTGAAGATGCTACTGTTGATCAGGACGTTGAGATGTCTTGATCGATTCATTTATCCTTAGACATTGCATCTACTTGGGCCAGGCCGGTATTTTATATAGCTCGAGATACCGCAGACTAAAGATCTGGATAATTGGTGCATCTGATGTCTTTTCTAATCGCACTGCGTACAAGCCCATTATGCTAGAGTGAAGAGTCATAAGATCATCAAGGCAAATCGTAATACTGTACAGGTGTATCTAACATTGGATTTTATCTATGGCATTCCGAGCAACTTATTTCGTCTTCTCGATCAGCTCGCCCACATTCAAGACAAGCTCATCATTGCCGTATTGTCCGACAACTTGAATACCTGCCAGGTCTCCCTCCGCCGAGTCTTGAGCTGAGACCGGAACAGAGATGGCAGGAAGTCCAGCCAAGCTGGCAGGAACAGTAAAAACATCGTTCGTATACGCGTTCAGCGGAGAACTCACAGTATCCCCATCCAAAAGCTTGGACAGCTGGGGAGGTGAGGAGGGAGCGGTAGGACAAACAAGGACGTCAACATCGGCTGGTTTAGATGCCGGCTCTGCAAGCAAGTCGCGATAAGAGTTGAACGGGTGTTCTGTGCTGAAAATGGCGTTGAAGTCTTGCTGCACGAGACGCCGGACGCGCTGTGCTTGGATAAAGTAGTTGTCTATAGCGTCTGCGCTTAAGCTGAATGCGCCTAGTAGGATCCGTCTCTTTACTTCCGATCCGAAACCTTCGCCCCTGGTGCTAGCGTATAGCGCATTTTCCGGTTTCCCGTCACTGTCGGGGCCTTCGGTGCGGGTTCCATATCTCACGCCGTCGTACTTGGCTAGGTTGGATGATGCTTCGGCGGGTGCGAGCACATAGTAAGCCGACAGGGCCTGCTGTGTCGATGGTAGGGAGACTGGTTGGATTGTATGCCCTTGTTGCCGTAGAAGTGACAAGGTACGGGACCATGCGTTTCGAACAGATGGGGAGAGTTCGGAGATGTTGTATTCGAGAGGGACACCGATCCTAAGGCCGGAAGTCATGCGGGATGCGAGATTCGATGATTCTAGGAGTGAACGAATCCGGTTACGGGATGCTAGGGATATATTAGTCGGATCCCGAGGGTCATGCTTGTTCATGATATCTGTAGTAGAGTTGCTATGTTAGCAAGGTCATACAACTTGTGAGTGGTATGAAAGCATACCAAATACATGATGGACCCTGGAGGTATCTCTCCCCATTATCCCAACTGTGTCCAACGAGTTGGCATAAGCAACCACACCCCATCGCGAGATCAATCCGTAGGATGGCTTGAAACCGACAGTGCCCGTGTATGCAGCTGGAAGCCGTATTGAACCGCCAGTGTCTGTACCCAATGCTCTGTATGGAGGAATAACAGTTCAGCCCATGTCTTCCGCGGAGAGGTTGAGGAAACCAAGTCACTCACGCATAACATTGATCGGTAGCGACAGCCACAGCACTTCCTCCGGAACTGCCACCGGCAGACAGAGCTCCTCCGTCGTGGTCCTGACGGGAATTCGTGACAGGCCCAAACCGCGAATGTACCGAGTGCGACCCCATGCCGAATTCATCCAGATTGGTTTTCCCAGCGACCACGGCCCCAGCATCCTCCAATTGCTCGACGACCGTGGCGTTGAACGGGCTGGTGAACTTATTCAAGATTCCGGAAGCGCATGTCGTGGGGAGATCGCGCGTGCAGATATTATCTTTAATGGAGATCAGGCGGCCGTCCAAACTCGATCGGGGCTTGCCTAGGCAAGAAACAGTTGGTATATATGATCATATGTTGTTTGGACCGAACACTCTTCCATATGGACATACCTTGCTTTCTGCGACGGTTCGCATCTTTTACCTGTTCCAGCCACGGCCCGGAGCTTCGCAGAGGGGTAATGAAGGCATTGAGGGCAACGTGAGCCTTCTGGTTAGCGATGCATTTCTCAGCTTCACGCAGAAGGGACATTTAGGCCTCTCTGAGCGGGTTGGCGAAAGAAGAGAAAAACAGGTAGAATTGTTGTCGATGTCAAATATTCGCGGAGCGTGGTCCGTGCATTCCAGTGTTCTTGAAGAAAGCAGTGCCCTGACTTGGTGATGAGGTTCCTATTGGGGGCAAACTCTGATTATCTGAGTATTGGGATTGGGTGTTTTGTTATGTATTGATAGTGCTGAGAGCATCTCAAGATACGTGTGCTACCTCACACTATATATATATATATATATATTATATACCTATGCCCGCTACAGAGTACAATCGACCAGCTTCAATTGAAAACTCAACCCACTGATTCTATGTAAATAGACTATTCCTAGGCTTTTGTCAATCCACTGCTAACTAGACTATGTAGTGGTTACAAAGCAGGAAACAACCTGTTGAAGCTATACAAATGCAGACGCCTTTATATCCGTCGGCCCGAAGAAGAAGCGAGAACGACGTCATTCGGAACCTCTCCTCCAAGAAATATCACCCATTTTCTCTTCAACTTCTCCCTCTTGTACGGATTAACAACTGATTTGCTCTGTGATAATTGTACAATATGTTCTCTCGCGCAGTGCTACGATCTTCTACCGTAAATGTTTCTCGCAGCAATGGCGCTGCTCTGGCGCTGAAAGCTAGAGCTTCGACCCCTCTAGCTGCGAACCCATGCCGGACACCTTTTATCAATTCGCTAGAAGCAAGAAGATATATCTCTGTATATGGCTATACGCAATCCAAAGCACTGGTTTACTCAAAATACGGCGAACCGAAGGATGTCCTCAAGTACGTGACCCGGGATTCTGCGGAGCTGCCATAGCCTTGCGCTCGCATCTCTCGCCATGCAATGGCCAATGCTGATTAGTATTTTCTCTCCAGACTTCACAAGCACTCCATCTCGGCACCCCACGGTACACAAGTCAACCTTCGTCTTCTCACGGCCCCGCTGAACCCGGCCGACATCAACCAGATCCAAGGAGTCTATCCGAGCAAACCGCCTTTCGAATCCACCCTGGGTACCGGGGAACCCTCCGCCGTGGCTGGAAATGAAGGTGCTTTTGAGGTCATTTCGACCGGGTCAGGCGCCCAGAACCTCAACAAGGGCGATTGGGTGATTATGAAACGCACAGGTCAAGGCACCTGGCGGACGCACGCCCAGATGGACGAGTCGCAATTGATCAAGATCGAGAACAAGGAGGGCCTGACGCCGCTCCAGGTTGGAACTGTTAGCGTTAACCCCGTCACTGCCTACCGTATGATTAAAGACTTCTGTGAATGGGATTGGTTGCGCGCTGGGGAGGAGTGGCTCATCCAGAACGGAGCCAACAGTGGTGTTGGTCGAGCTGCTATCCAGCTTGCGCGGGAGTGGGGTATCAAGACCCTCAACGTTATCCGTGACAGAAAGACCCCCGAGGAAACCGAGTCGATGAAGAAGGAGCTTCTGGATCTTGGCGCCACCGCCGTGATCACTGAATCCGAATTGCTTTCGGCTGAGTTCAAGAACACGGTTAAGGAACTTACCCATCAGGGTAAGGAGCCTATTCGTCTGGCTCTCAACTGCGTGGGAGGCAAGAATGCCACCGCGTTGGCCAAGGTTCTGGCCCCTGGTTCGCATATGGTTACCTACGGAGCAATGTCCAAGCAGCCCGTCGCATTGCCGTCTGGTCTTTTAATCTTCAAGAACCTCGCATTTGATGGCTTCTGGGTGAGCAAATGGGGTGACAAGAACCCACAACTCAAGGAGAACACCATCAAGGACGTGCTTGAGCTGACTCGCGCCGGGAAATTCAAGGACATCCCTTCGGAGGATGTCAAGTGGAGTTGGGACACCCAGGGCCCTGAGCTCGCAAATAGTGTCCAGGGAACTCTCTCTGGATTCCGCAGTGGAAAGGGCGTGCTTAAATACGAGGGCGGCGATGAATAAAAGGAAATCAAAAAAGAAGAAAAAAAAAAAAAACTACAAGTGTACATCTGATGTCATCTGAATCATCCAATTGTAGAATCATTGTGCAAACGCTAATAATGCTTTCCAACTTCATCTATACCAAGTCTGTGCCCTAATATAGTAGGATCTACAAAGAAGGATGGTTATAATCTAAGCTTTAACTATAATAACGCCCATGAATATGCTTAGACCTTATGCTGCCTTATGCTGTCGTATCGCATTTCCAATTATCCTTCACCCAACCTAGAATGAGATTGGTCAGGCTCATCGAAGGCATATACACATCGCTATCCCGCGGGACATCGATATCAAGACTTGCAAACTTGGCTGCGAGAGTTATGTACCGTTCGATGAAATCGATATAAACCAAGTCTACAGTGTCTGGTGCCGCAGACGAGTTGGACGACACCGAGGCTTGAATGCAATTGGGAACGTGGTAAAAAGAAATAGGCGAGTGGATAGTGTCATCGCCATCAGAGCCTCCGTCGTCTTTGGTGGTGTATCCTGGAAGTAATTTAGGCTTGGAATGACTCTGGCTTGACCATGACAATAGAGCCTGTCCGACTTTAGAGGCAAAAGAGGGACGGCTGTCATCATCAGAAACCACTCTGTCATGGGGGTATGCGGCCTGCTCTGGTGGTGCGAGAGACCATATAGGATAATGGGCAAAGTGCTGTGATCCGGCCAGGATCTGAGGCTGTTCGTTTAGAACCTCAACAATCAACTGTGCTTTATCGTAAGGTACGTCTTTCAAATAGCGGAACCCGCTTGTGAAGGGACACAATATGTATAGGGAGTCTTGGGTAAAAGGTCCCTTGAACAAGTCAAACCGAATGGCCCCGGTATTAACAATTGCGACGGCTGGCTTGCCGCTACGTTTGTCATCTTTCAAAGCATCGGGAAGTACTTCTTTCTCGAGCCACGTATAGATGTTACTCTCACTGGGGTACTCGACGCTGGACATCCAGAGATCTCGGGGAGCACAGCCATACACTTGGTCTAGCCTTAGTGCACTTCGCGATTCCTGGATGAGCTGAGAAGTGTTTTGACCATGTTCCGTAGGGAACGTCTGCTCATCAAGGCCTGTGTGATGGTAGAACGAAAAGAGATTGTTGTCAATGTATCTCCGGCTGAAGCGGGGAGTGCTAGTGGAAAGACCATCAATTGACGTGAAGCCAATAGTCTCCATAAAACGGCCACTTGCCAAGCCATAGGCCTTGTCATCATAGCGTGCATAATCGCGAATATGATAGTGACCACCAAAGAATTGAATGGGTACATCCCATCGGACAGCCCGAATTGCCTTGAAGATGGCATCTGCTTCCTGAGAACGAACGGGAACGTGTCCGGCCACCAAGAAGAGATCGACATTCATGTCCCGAATAGCTTCCTGGAACCATTCTTCCTCGATTGTATCTTCCACGCGCTGGACGATCGTGTTATTGTAATTCATATTGAAGTCGAACAGGAAACCAAACGCAACAATGCGGATTCCCTGCTGTTTCATAGTGAACTTCTTGTATCGAGGGGCAAACGGCACGGCATCTTTGGTGATAGGATGGATGATATCGACATTCGATGCTAGGTAGTGGCCCCGGAAATTATGCACAGTGGTGTAGAACTCGGCCTCGGACGTGTACTGCTTGTACAGCTCATGGTTTCCAATCGTGATCACATCGATAGGTTGTTGGCGCAAGATTTCAGAAACATAGACACCTTTGGGCTCCGATGAATCCCAAAGACCATTGCCTTCGACTCTGTCGCCTGTATCGATCACCAACAGATCCTGTCCATGCGCCTCTGCCTTTTCTCGCATCCGTGTAGCGAAGGAGACATAGTCACCCCAATCTGCGGAATAGAATGGTTCCTGCAAATGACCGGCCAGCCAGCCATGAGTATCAGTGGTATGGAGGAAGTTCAGCTGGCCCCATTCCAAATCACGCAGTTGAGCCCGGATGGGCTTGGGAGCAGAGGGTTGAGCAGCAAAGACATGTTGGGGGATAGAAGTAAGCAGAGATAGCAGAGACAATGTAAACACCACCATCATCACCATCATCATCAGCACCGTCAGCACCATCGACCTCCCTTGAGTGAGGAGGAAATTGGATGGTTACGTAGACGGAAGCAGAAGCCGGTGAGGGTCCGGCTGAGTCAGCATTGGCCCAACAAGCGCCCTCACCAAAAATAACGGGCGAGAAAAAACAGACGAGGAAGAATAACCCCGGAAGACAGTCTGCTTTTGACAGCTCGATCTCAGGTCTTTCCCTTCTTCTTTTGTTCTGTTCCATTCGCCCGAACCGCTCCTCCTTCCATATTATCTATATCCTTCCCTCAGCCCGGCCATGGCTGCTCCCCGTCTCTTCCGTCCGGCAGCTCGCCTGCTCTCTTCGCGCCTTTCCTCGACTCCTCTCCGCCCTGCGTTCCAGAAGACCGCCTGCGCACCTTCGATCTTGCGCTCGCGGGGTTATGCTACCGAGACCGGTGGTACCAAGGAGGTCACTGTTCGTGATGCATTGAACGAAGCCCTCGTCGAAGAATTGGAAAGCAACCCCAAGACTTACATCCTGGGTGAAGAAGTTGCGCAGTACAATGGAGCGTATGTCACATCGTCCCCATCAAATGCTTGGCAATATATGGAGATATAGGATGTTATGGAGGATCGCCTTTGACTGACATGTCTGGGGGTTTGATAGTTACAAAGTAACACGAGGTCTGCTGGACCGCTTCGGTCCTAAGCGGGTTATCGACACTCCCATCACGGAAGCTGGTTTCTGTGGTCTGGCAGTTGGTTCTGCTCTGGCCGGCCTGCACCCCGTTGTACGTTTTTGCCATGCGCCGATATATAGAGGGGAATGTCTGAATATAAGGAATTGCGACGGACTAATGAATTATTCGTACAGTGCGAGTTCATGACCTTCAACTTCGCCATGCAGGCCATTGACCAGATTATCAACTCTGCCGCAAAGACACACTACATGTCTGGTGGTATCCAGCCTTGCAACATCACCTTCCGTGGTCCCAACGGTTTCGCCGCCGGTGTTGCTGC